AATGAGCATATGTATGGTAATTTGCAGGAGGGAAAGAGACTTGGGGTATACCACCATCCTCGACCAGGCCCTAGGCGGCGTCCATCTCCTCTCGACCAATCGTTATGCGTTGGACCCGTGTCCAGCATGCTTGCTGGACACGGGTAACAGTGCCGTTAGGCACTGTTATCTCTTTTTTTTTTTTTTTTTTTTTTTTTAAATTTCAGACCGCTTCATTGTAAGAGTATATGTTCATAATTTTATTACTATATGTTAATAACTATACATTCATAACTCCATAATTGTACGTTCATAACTCTATAACTGTACATTCATAACTCCATAACTGTACATTCATAACTCCATAATTGTACATTCATAATTTTCGAAGCTCTATGTTCATAATTTTAGAGCTCTATGTTCATAATTTTATCACTATATGTTCATAATTGTAAGTTCATAATGTTAGAGCTCTTTGTTCATAATTTGATCAATGACTGTACATTCATAATTCCATACTGTAGATTCATAATCTCATAACTGTAGATTCATAACTCCATAACTGTAGATTCATAACTCTATAACTGTACATTCATAACTCCATAACTGTACATTCATAATCTTTGAAGCTCTATATTCACAATTTTAAAGCTCCATGGTCATAATTTTATCACTATATATGTTCATAATTGTAAGTTCATAATGTTAGAGCTCTGTGTTCATAATTTCATAATTGCATAACTGTATATTCATAACGGTATAACTGTACATTCATAACGGCATAACTGTACATTCATAATCCAAAAAAAAAAATAACGCCGTTAACGGCAAAACGCGCGCGAATTATTTTTTTTAACTAAATGACGCGTTTTTTTTAAAAAACGACGTCGTTTTGGGCCCGTGTCCACAATTCAATGTGGACACGGGTCTAGGGCATAATTTGGCCCTCTCGACTGATGTCAATGGAATTTGGATACATGGTTAGAGTTAGATAAGGGACTTACGCGCCTTTAAAAAAAAAAAAAAAAAAGGAAAGAGACGAAATTTTGTGAAATTATTTGGGCTTTTTTGGAAATTAACATAACCAATTTCATTGGATATAATGATTTTTGTTAGTGGCTTGGTTAAAATCACTACGTTACAAATAATTAAATGGAAAAAAATGAATAAGATAATAATTTTTTGACTAAGTTTATAATATGATGAGTATAATTAAAGGATTAAAATTAATATAATTCTTTGTTAATATTGTCATAATTAGACTATACACTCAGCATTTTGATTTTTTAAAAACCATTCTATTAAATTGTTGTTGTAACTTGTAACTATAATCATATTTGAATTAGATTTTGTACAAGTAATTGGGTGTGTGAAAACTTCAATCATTATTCCACGGAACATGGTCCATATATTTGTGTGAACCATAATTAAAAAAGGTATTTTTAATATACTAAAAGTATATTATTTGTATACATAAAAATATAAAATACATTATTTGAAAGTACATGATTTTTATATACTATTAAATAATATACATTCAGTAAACAAATAATGTACTTTTAATATATATTCGAAATGTATATTACATTCATAGTCCATACAGCTATATGCCGCCTATGTGTACGATGGTCCACTCAATAATTTGCCTGAAACCCAATCTTATTCCATGGACCTAACCCATTGATATCTGCATGACTGTTTGGTAGTTTAACAAGAAGCCCAATGGTTCCTTTCGCAACCCAATTATCAATGAGCCATTACAGCATTTTAGCAAAAAGCCCAATGGGTTTCTTTCGTAACCCAATTATCAATGAGGCATACAGCATACCATTGTTCATTTTTATTTTTATTTTTAGATAAAAACTTAAATGCATTAAATCATGAGCAAGACACTTTATAATAAAAGAAGGGGTATCAAACCACTCTCCAGAACCTAACACTAAAAAGGCCTCTCGAATAACAGTGTGGGCGGCACAATTCGCTTAACAAACCGAAATTCGGCATCATCAATAAGCGTTGGCAGTGAGAGTGGTATCATTCGCATGCTTCCTATTTTCCCAGAAGTTGAGGGCCCTTCGTAACATCATATGTAGATCGAAAGTTATCCCCTTCCAAACATTCTCATTCCTGCTATACCATATACCCCAACAAGCCATGACAAATTTAGCAAGCATATCACCACTCAAGGCCTTAATGTAACTAAAAAAAAACAATCAATTACATTATTACCGATTGCATGGTTAGAGGCCGGTAGACCAAGCATGTTCCAAACTCTCTCAGCCTCAGTACACTTAGCAAAGATATGGCGTGCACTTTCATTTTCTCTCCTGCACATATGGCAAATCATTCACTACAAGAAAAATGCACATAGACAACACTAGAAAGACAACAGTTTTTAACAAAAGCGTTGTCTTTTGTATAAAAGACAACAGTTTGGTCCAAAACCGTTGTCTTTGATGCAACACTTTTGTCAAAGACAACGGTTTTTACTTAACCGTTGTTGTAAGTGTGTTGTCTTTGTGCATTTTGTGAAAAGACAACACCACAACGACAACGGTTTTTTAAAACCGTTGTCTATGTGCGTTTTTTTTTTTTAAAAAGACAACGGTTTATTAACCGTTGTCGTTGGTGTGTTGTCTTTAAGCGCACTGGAATACACAACACTAGAAAGACAACGGTTGTTTAAAACCGTTGTCTTTGTGCGTTCTTTTTTTTTTTTTAAAGACAACGGTTTTATTTAACTGTTGTCGTTGGTGTGTTGTTTTTAAGCGCACTCGAATACACAACACTACAAAGACAACGGTTTTTAAAAACTGTTGTGTTTGCATACTCTTTTTTATTTAAAGGACAACGGTTTTTTTACCGTTGTCGTTGGTATGTTGTCTTTAAGCGCACTAGAATACACAACACTACAAATACAACGGTTTTTTAAAACCATTGTCTTTGCGCATTATTTTTTTTAAAAGACAACGGTTTTGTTTAACCGTTGTCATTTATGTGTTGTCTTTAAAACACAAAACTACAACGACAACGGTTTTATATAACTGTTATCGTTGCGCGTTCTTTATTTGTTTAAGACAACGGTTTTATTTAACCGTTGTCTTTGGTATGTTGTCTTTAAGCGTATTTGAATACACAACACTACAAAGAAAACGGTTTTTTTATAACTGTTGACTTTGCGCATCATTATTTTATAAAAGATAACAGTTGTATAAAATATAAACAACAATGTTAACAACAAGAATTGAACTTACGACCTTAAACATAGCAAATAAGGTCTAACCAACTAAGCAACACAACCTCTTATTTATAAAAATGCAACATCTGGTATATAACTGAGTTTATAAAATAGGTTAAGGATGCCCATATGAAGAATATAACCTAAGACCTCTAACATAAAAAACTAAGCTAAACCCACAAAGCCACACCAACACTTATGTACTTAAGCACAACATCTAGGATATAACCAATTTGCTTATTTGTTCTCTCTGAGAACCAAGACAATGATTGTATAAAATAAGTTAAAGATGCCACTAGAAAGTATAGAACCCAAAACCTCTAACATAACAAACAAAGCTAAACACACCAAACCACACCAACCCTTGTTTACTAAAGTGTTACACCTTATCATTTACCTATAATTTTGGGCTGGCAGCTTTGATCTCCGGACTCTTTAACAAAGAAATAATACAATTCAAAAGTTAATTTAATAGTTCTATTTTCATTCATATTTAAATATAAAACTATTCACCAAAATTTCAATTTCAATTCATTAAAGTTTTATTTTCATTTACAATTAAGACCAATCTATGAATTCAAAAAAAAAAAAACAAATAATAATTATCAAGTATAAAAATAAAATAATAGAATATATCTATAATATTTTTTTTAAAAAAATTGGGGCCCTGTGCGGTCGCGCCGGTCCGACATGGCCTAGAACGGCCCCGGCGGTGCGGTGTGGTGTTTTGAATGGTGCGGTATGGTGTTATACCTCAGGCTTTATATGTACTATTTTAGACCTAGCACCCTGGGTAATAAAGCTACTATTTCGTACCCATGTTCAATTCTATAACTATATGTCCGGTACTATTTTGGGCCTAGCGCACCCCTCATTCTGTACCTATATATCCGGTACTATTTTGGGCCTAGTGCCCGGATAATAAAGTTACTATTTTCTAACCTCCCCGCTATATACCCGATTTATGGTGGACTCGATCTCTATAAAACCATGAATATACTTATTTAATTTGCTATTATAACTATATATATATATATATATATATATATATATATATATATATATATATATATATATATATATATATATACTTTTATTTTATATATAAACAACAACAGTTAAAAAATAACCACCCGTGGTCCTAATTCTTTAAAAAAAAAACCCAAGTTTAAAATGACCACGAGACATTTTAAAAGGACCGCTGATAGTTATTTTTTAGAACATGGAAGACCATTGACGGTCATTTAAAACTCAAATGATATATATATATATATATATATATATATATATATATATATATATATATATATATATATACATACATACTTGCATTCAAACGAGGACAAGTACATTATAGAGGACTGTGAGGACAGATGTAGTGTGTGCCATTAGACTGTATGTCTTGTGCATGGTTGAATGTAGTCGTGTGCCGCAGTTTGTATGTCGTGTGCATACATTTGTTAATTAATAGAGTATTAAATTGTGTGCCTAATATTAATTTGTTGTGTGCCCGTTATTTATCCCGCACAATCCTCTATATATTGTTGTCCTCATTTGAACTCAACTATATATATATATATATATAATTTTATTTTTTAATTTTATATGATATACTACATTGATTAAATAAAACTGAAATATAATTTATTATATAACATCATTTTATTATTAGAATTGATCTTATAACTTCAATTATAAAAATTAAAAAAATCCCTCCAAACCTAAATCCAAAACCCTCCAATTTTTTTTTTCATACACTTAAATATTTTACAAATTCCCTCCAAACCTAAACCCTGTACACTTAGAATATTTTACAATTTTCCCCCAAACCTAAATCCAAACCCTTGTTTTCATCGATCACCACTGCACCTCCATCGCCATCATCCGTCGTTGCTGTCAGCCGCATATGATTCAGGCACCGGCACGGAGACGCTCTGAGACGGAGACGGAGACAGAGACGCCACCAACCACGAAGTAGCAGAAAGATTTATAGGCACATCAGCTTATCCGAATTCTAGATCAATCCTATCGATTTTGGTACTTTAACGCTGAATTTGATTATTCCAGCTTCAGTTATGCGATTTTTGCATTTTCCTTGTATTTTTGGGGTTAATTTTAGCAATGCGATTTTTCTGCCTGGTATGTGTTATTGAGAAATGGTGTTGTTCAATGTGAGACTTTATGTCTCACAGCTTTTAGGTAAATTTCCCATATATATATTTTTAAAATCCGTCAAGATCCGTCTCATGACTTCATTGCTATAGGTTTTATGTGAGGAATCATTCCAATTTGTGTTTGCATTATCAACATCAAAGAACAGAGCAAACACAGGAAATTGGCATTTACATTTCATTTATAGAGAACACAAAGTTCATTTGTAATGAGAAATTAAAACACAATTGTTTGAGAACAAGGAGTACTTTGACATCTATATTTGTTCAGAACAATTTTTTAGAGAAACAGTTTGGCCTACACCATTAATAAATACTTAATATTTCTGTTTAGTGAAGTATTATCTTAACCATAAACTATGGAGATCTTGGATTAAACAAGCTTTATTTGGGTTCACACACTAATTAATTCCTTAGATGTCTTTTGTGTATAAGAAACAAAAATTGGGCAGATATAAACAGTGTCTTTTTTTGCCCCAGATTTTTTTGTGGTAGACTTCTCACTTTACCTATTTGCTATGGCAGATGTTCGATCTTGTACTATGGATATTGCATCTTTACTGTTGCTGCAGGTACATGACTTTATATTTGGGTTTTTAATTTTAATTAATTAATTTTTCAGAACAAATGCAACCACGCATTTATCAATATGACTGATCCTTCATTCATTGTTCCATTTTATCATGTAAGCTTCCCTCTTTCCCTCAGTAAATAATTGATACTGTATTAGTATTTCTCTATGTATCATGTTGCTATGTCTATGTTTAATAGAGAGTTGATCTGACAGGCTTTTAATGGCAAGAAATGGGAAAAGTTCAACAGTGAAAAGGTGGCATCACTTGCATATGTTCGCATCCAGGGAAAAGCTGCCCTTATTGCTCACTTCCAGAATTCTAGCTTGATGAATGAAGATAAGATGTAGTATGCTGAATTGTAGTATGCTATTGGGCTTCATGGCTTACTACTCTATAACCCCATATCAAAAAATATGTAAGCCAATCACAATTGCATTACTATCATACTATGTCTAAATCTGTGTAGTTCATAATGTATTTAAAAATTACTTTGCCTTTGCTTTAAAAATCCATAATTTTGTCTCCAAATTTTGAAAGCTTATAATACTTCACCTCTTTTTAGTTTATTGTATACTGAGAGTATATGTATGTTTGTGAAGCAACGAACCTTGCTGCGTGCATTGCCTTAGATCACTTTACTGGCTCCAAGCTAACTGTCCCCCACCAACAGATGAAAGTAAAATAACAAAGTAAATGAAAGAAAAATAACAAAGTAATTTTGCCTTGAGTGGAGGTCTGCTACTGACTTTGGGTTGATCTTTTGTTGGAAATGATGCCTGAGATATGGAAATAAAGCCCCATGGAGCTGAGGTCTGAACAGAACCGGTGAAGTGGTGAGCAGAGATGAAATCTGAGTTAATTGAGGGAAGCTGATCTAGGATTGGCTCCAATGGAGGAATAAGGAGGTCCACTAAAGTTTGGTGGACTCTTTGGCCTGTCTGGGGTTTTATGGTTGGAAGGGAGATATTTTGGAGGGGTGTTGGAGGTATAAAGAGGGTGGAAACTGAGATGATAAAGCCCTTGGAAGGCAACTGTGCAGGTCTGATCTGCTGAATTGCAGCTGGTTTGAGCTGTTGAAATAAAATTTCCTGGTAGTAGCTGCAATCCAAAGCTCTATGGAGTGGAGGATGTGGTTGCCATGAAGTTGCTTTGATGATAGCACCTTTATAAGCATCAACAAGTTCTCTCATTCTCAATGTTCACTTCTTTCTGTATATGTCTGTGACTTATACTCTAGAAATCTAGATTGATATTTCACATTATATCTCTATTTTGCCTCTTATGTGTGGATTAGCACTTATCATATTCTTTTGCATTTCACAGATAAAACAGAGCTACAATGTGTTCCTAGTAGCTTTGACTCTGTGGAAGAGTATGTTTTTGCATAGGCTGCTTGTGGACTGAACATTAAATTATCGAAGGAAAAGATTGAAGATATTGATGCCGGAGATGTGTACAATGAGTTGGCAGTTGTGGGGTATGCAGAAAACATTTAAAAGTTCTACAAGGAAGCTGAGGTAAACCACCTTCTGTCATTTATACTCTTTGATTAATGAATTTTAGCTTCTTGCATATATATATATATATATATATATATATATATATATATTATTTTTTTAATAAAATAAAAGACTTTTCGAGACACCTACAATGGAGCAGGTGTCTTAGATAATATTTAATAATAAAATATATATACCTCTATGTATACCTCTATATATGAAACTACCTCTAGATTCGTATTGTTTACTAGGAAACAATAAGAGGAGGTTCTGTTGTAAATTAGGTAGCTATATATAAATGCCTTTCTATTCATGTGTTCCTATATATACAAATTAAAGTGTGCTTAATCTTTGTGGTTTGGTGTTAAGTGCCAAAATCCTGCCTGCCAAAATCCTTATATACAAATTAAAGTGTGCTTGTGGTTTGGTATTGATATTCTTGGTTGCAGTGGCATTATATAGAGGATGCAATGTGTTTTGTTTTGCTTGGGCCTTGAGGAAGAGAAAACTAGAAAGTAGGCAAAGCATGACTGGTAGATTGATAAATGCCATCCATCCCACATGGTAGTTGCTAATTGGGAGCATTTGTATTCATATTAGGAAAGTATTGCCAATGCATTGATTTTACTCTACTTGAATAGACTCTAGTATGCCATTTTAGTGTTTCCTGTCTAGCAAGTTGCCATTTTAGTGTTTCCTGTCTAGCTTTTCTGTACTATAACCTTCCAGATTGGAGAGCTTTCTGAATTATTCCTAACTTATTTTGCATTTCATTGCAAATTATTTATATCTATACTAATTTATTTTCTTACTTTTTACATGTAGTTTCAACAAGTTGATTATGACAAAGCGGTTATTCATCTGGTGCGTTCTGAATGGGCCGATATTCTATCAAGTCATATAGAGTAGGTATGATTTGGACATTAGAACGTTGTGATCATTTGGACTTGAATTGGTTCGTGGAATTGTTTTTTGTGTAGTAGTATTATGACTTGGATGATAATTAGAATTGGTCATGGAAGTCTTTTGACTTGTTATTTTGAACCTTATTAGCTTGTGCACAATTATGTAACTACACTTTGCAACATATGGTGAATGGATAAATTTTTTTTTATATGATTATAATTTAAGCAGGTGAAAAACGGTTAAAAACCGTTGTCTATTTTACAATAGACAACAGTTAGAAACCGTTGACTTTTCTACAAAAGACAACAGTTTATGGGTGTGACAAAAGCGATTTCAACAACACACAATAGACAATAGTTTATAACTGTTGTCTTTTAAAGAAAAGACAACAGTTAAAAACCGTTGTCTATGTACGTGACTTTTAACAACACTGGTTTCAACAACGCTTAATAGACAACGGTTAAAAAATCGTTGTCGTTGGTAGAAAAGACAACGGTTAATAACCGTTGTCTATGTGAGTGACTTTTAACAACACCGGTTTCAACAACACTTAATAGACAACGGTTAAAAAACCATTGTTGTTAGTAGAAAAGACAACGGTTAATAATCGTTGTCTATGTGCGTGACTTTTAACAACACCGGTTTCAACAACACTTAATAGACAACGGTTAAAAAACCGTTGTCGTTGGTAGAAAAGACAACGGTTAATAACCGTTGTCTATGTGCGTGACTTTTAACAACACCGGTTTCAACAACACTTAATAGACAACGGTTAAAAAACTGTTGTCGTTTATAGAAAAGACAACGGTTAATAACCGTTGTCTATGTGCGTTACTTTTAACAACACCGGTTTCAACAACACTTAATAGACAACGGTTGAAAAACCGTTGTCGTTTCTAGAAAAGACAACGGTTATTAACCGTTGTCTATGTGCGTGACTTACAACAACACCGGTTTCAACAACACTTAATAGACAACGGTTAAAAAACCGTTGTTGTTTCTAGAAAAGACAACGGTTAAAAAACCGTTGTCTATGCGCGGGACTTACAACAACACCGGCTTCAACAACAGAAATTATATCCCTACGACAACGGTTATTAACCGTTGTCTATGTGCATTTTTCTTGTAGTGATTGTTCATATTTTTTGCATTGTAAGACAAAAAAGACTTCTCAAGTGACCAAAATCAAATAATCATGTCCCACACAAAAATTGTTTATATCATGTGATAAGGACCCCTAAAAATCCCCAACTCTAACGGACAAGGGTTAAACAAGTCGTCTTCAATTCATTCTCCTCCCAAAAATCTCCAACTCTACGGATCCCAACATTGAACAAAGCATGTGAAATAATATAAATCACGATAACTCAATGGCTTATCTCAATGGACTCCACACCCTAACTGGAAGCAGATATAGCCAAATGCTGACGTGCACAAAGAATCTTCTCACTTTGAATATAAATATATAATCCCTACACTGTCACCGTCGAGTTTTGAACCTTGACCTCTTCTCCCAAATACTGCATATTGAACTAATAAGCTACGCTTGTGCATAAAAATCTTCTAATTATACTAGTTCGTACAATTAGATTTCTCGACTTAAAAAATCTCTAATCAGAACCTCAAACTTATATATATAAAAAAAAAAAAAAAAAAAGTGCAAATGTGCAATTAGACGACCATTTTGTAGAGTACTTCCAAGTAACTAATAAATTACTTGATATTTAAATTTTTCAAGCTGATTTGGTGAGTTGATGTGGTTTCAACATATTTATTTAAAATGATATTATATTAAATTTTATTTTTAATAAATAAATTAATAATAATAATAATAATAATAATAATAATAATAATAATAACAAAATATTCTTCTAGATTATTCTTCTAGATTTGGTTGTTCGTTTGCCGTCGACTATCGTCGTCCCACTATGCCTACTATCCACGCTTATCGCAACTGCTGACCGACAGTTGTTCGCCTTCACCGCCACTTCTCATTACTTTTTTTGTAAGTAGCTGCGGCAACATGCAGTGATGGTGGCAGCTTGGCAAATGAACTGGGCAGGTCAACACTCAACATGATGGCTGTGAGGACATCGATAAAAATTATTTGTGGTATTAAAAGTATTTATTAAAATGAAAAAGGGAAAAAATCAAAATAATCTAAAAATATAATAAGTCTCAATCAAAGTTATATATCTCATTTATATCTATGTTTTTAATGCTAATCATTTTTTATATTGTATTTTTAGAGTTTTACTATATAATTTTTTGGACAAAAATATTCTTACTGTACGTTATAACTTCCGTTATCTTTTCCATTATTGTTACTATGCACATGCATCCACCATATATTTTGTTATATTCTTTAATGATAATAATATTTGTAGACATTATATATTGGATTATTATTATAAATAAATTTGATTTCGTATAAATTTTAGGGAAAATGACACTTTTCCTCTCAATTATATGTGTATAGCACATTTCCCCCCTGAATTACTCATGTAAGCACAGTAGCTCCCTCAATTATTTTAAAAGTGACGATTTTTCCACATGATATATTAAATTGACATTTTTACCCTTAAAGCAAACATTTTATTTATTTTTCACCTCCAACAAATTATTGCTTATACATAGGGATGACCACGTTTGGTTCGAACTGAACCAGACACTATAGCAATCGAATTGAAAGTTTCTGATTATGATTCAGATACAGAGCCCAATATTTGGATTTCAATTTATTAAGGGAAACACATCACAATGAAATGCAAAAAAAAAAAAAAAAAAAAAAAAAAAAAAAAAAAAAAAAAAAAAAGTACACAACAGACCCAAAAAAATACACCATATAACTAAGCACACCCCAATGGTTTATTTTCCGAACACTGTATGATGTTTTTACTCACACCTAATGGTGTGTTTTTATGATGTATACTTAATTTGTGTGTGTTTTTGTGGTGCATTTTCCTAACGTTGGTGGTGTATATTTGTTGAACTATTATTAAGGGAAACACACCATAATGAAATGCAAAAAAAAAAAAAAAAAAAAAAAAGTACACAACATACCCAAAAAATACATCATATAACTAAGCACACCCCAATGGTTTATTTTCCGAACACTGTATGGTGTTTTTACTCACACCTAATGATGTGTTTTTGATGATGTATACTTAATTTGTGTGTGTTTTTGTGTTGCATTTTCCTAACGTTGGTGGTGTATATTTGTTAAACTATTGGTGACGCCGCACCGCCACACCTAAGGATATCGTTGCACTTGAACCTTACTATATATATATATATATATATATATATATATAGACACACACACACACACACACACACACTTACTTTTGGTAGCCATGCCTTCTCGTGCGGTCGCTTGAAAAAGGCATCAACAGTGTTAGGAAAATGCACAACAATGAAAATGCATAAATACACAAAAAAAAAAAAAAAAAAAACTACAACACATCCAAAATATGCACCATAACTTTTCCGGCCACCTCTAATTGTGCACTTTCGGTCGCTTGAAAAAGGCATCAATAGTGTTAGGAAAATGCACAACAATGAAAATGCATAAATACACACAAAAAAAAAAAAAAAAAAAAAAAAAACTACAACACATCCAAAATATGCACCATAACTTTCCCGGCCACCTCTAATTGTGCACTTTCGAACACTGTGTGGTGCTTTCGTATATTAGAGATATATCTTTGTGTACATTCGTATGCTTTCGTATATTAGAGATATATATTCAACATCTATTCTCATGCCCTATTGTGTAGGGAGACTGGCCAAATGGTTTGCTCCATTCGTATGGGTGGGGATCGAATGCTCAACCTCATGTTTAAGGAAACGGTTTGCTCCATTCACATGGGTGAGATCGAACCCCCAACCTCATGTTTAAGGAACGAGGTGCTGAACCACCACGTCAACCATGTTTGTTAAAAAATTTAATAAGATAATAATTCTCAAAAATCGTATTATATTTTAATTAATTTAAACTTGAATTAT